TAAAACACATGACTCGGTCTACACTACAAAAGTTGAGACAAACCTAGCTATGAACAGTAGCTCAGTTTCTACGCACAACTGTTTGTTGATTGCAACTATCTACGGTCGTTTTATTGAAAAAAAAAGCTATTCACGATCTTAACGGTCCTTTCTGTCACCGGGTTTTTTCTCACTCAATGTGCCGATGATTCGAAACTTTGTTGTATGGTAGAGTTGGTAGTAGCATATTGTGTCATGGTTTTTTTTTTACCGATTTTTTCTATGACTTTTCAATATTGTAATCTTGCATTGGCAGCATTAGAGAAACTTGTATGAGAGTGATCGCATTAGATACTTACCATAGTTTATTTTCAAACTGATATACTAAGGTTGAGACGAGGAAGTAATGGTATCTAGGGAAGTGTAAGTTGTTACGTCATTGTAAACAAGGGAAGTCTCTTGTGCAAACTTGTTTGTGGCACTAATTACACAATCCCTATTTTAGTGATATAAACGCTCTTATATTAGTTTTACAGAGGAAGTAGTCAGGTACACGAAACCTCACCGTTACGTGCTGGCGGAGCTTCATGGAGGCCAAATGGGGCCACGACCCCTCTTCCGAAAGAAAACCTTTTTTACAACTATTAAGAATCTTGATTCAACGCATGAATAGACGATTTCCCTCTCTAGCCCAATGCACAAATGCACCTCTCATTCTCTCGGGATCGTCTCTCCCTTCAGCAAATCGAGAGAAACCACGTTTCTCTTCATGACTCGCCCCCTGACAACTAATCTCTAGGGGTATATGGTACACGACAAATCGATATTGCGTCTATGATTAAAATAAATCAAATAAAACACATGACTCGGTCTACAATACAAAAGTTGAGACAAACCTAGCTATGAATAGTAGCTCAATTTCTACGCACAACTGTTTGTTGATTGCAACTATTCACGATCGTTTTATTGGAAAAAAAAACTATTCATGATCGAAACAGTCCTTTTTGTCACCGGGTTTTTTCTCACTCAATGTGCCGATGATTCGAAACTTTGTTGTATGGTAGACTTGGTAGTAGCATATTGTGTCATGGTTTTTTTTACTGATTTTTTCTATGACTTTTCAATATTGTAGTCTTGCGGTGTAGCACCACAGAAACTTGCCCATAGTTTACTTCCAAATAGATAAATGGTATCCAGGGAATTGTAAGCTGTCATGTATTGGATCCCAATCCAAGTTAACAAGGGAAGTATCTCGTGCAAACTTGTTTCCGGCACTAAATACTTACTCAGGTACACGACATTTTCGCCGCTACGTGTGCCACGTGGTACAATGCAAGTGGTTTTCTGTGGGCGGCCGTGGAGGCGAGGGTAGGGTGCGATAGGACGTGGGAGGCGGTGCGGCACAGCTGGGGGGTCGAGAGAAGGCTGATACCATGTAAAAAAAACAATCGGTGCGAGACAAATGTATTCACATCATTTGGTGGCCATATATAGCACTTACAGAGGTTGTATCGTCGACGACAATTATCCTAATTGCAACATATATACTTGGGAACAAACGGGACAACTACGCCTAATACAAACATGTACTTGTATAGGACAAGCAAAAGTGTCTCTCAGCAGTTTCTGAACTGCTGAGAAAAATTACTACTGTATAATTTGGTATATGTATACAGTTAATTAAGATAGGCATCTGCGTAGAATGTACCCGGGTAGACTATCCTTAGTATATGCAATTGGAAATTTAGCCATCATTCTAGGTAGAGGCCGTAAGCAGTTGGTCCGAGTATGTCTAACTGCATATGATCCGGCAGCACAGCAGACGGTCAAGCAGCTGAAAAATAATTTAGGCGGAGATACGGCTTACTATATTGACTTCCAAGCCCCAAACGGACCACCGGTTACAGGGACATATATAAGTCAAGGATTAGTGCCATCCCTTAGTGTCACCGTTAAAGAGAGGCGTTAAGCAAGTTCAGGGCTCCAGAAATTACAGTCTCCCACTCCACCCGGCCTAAAGTATAAGCTGCATTTCTGCAATATAACCCAACAACAGAAATAAACGGAAAGCGGCGTGGAGAGATTTCCTTGTCTGCTGAATTTTCCAACCTTGCAGATGACGCGACTCCTCGCTGATCCAAAATAGGAGAAGACAGTGCCGCTTACCTAGCAAATTTACTTAAGTGGTGGTAGCAGTAGCAGTACTAGGAGGTGATTGAAAATGTTTACAGAGATACTCCTACATATCATGTCAGCGTATGTACAATCCTGGGCTGTGGCCTGTGAATGGGAAGAGAAAGAAAGAAAAGAGAAGGTCGGGGGGGTGCGGGTGGGGTCGCGCCCAGCCCAACTGTTCCACCGCAATAATTGCCGACGCAGCAGAGGCCACAGTGGCAACAGCACAAGTCGCCCGTACCAATCCCCTTACCTTTTATTATTATTATTGGCATTGTACCATAAAGCGCACAGTGGCATTATATCAGAGCATTCCTCTTGCAGTCTCTCCCCTCCCCTCCCAGCCGGTCAACCCCTACCAAAGACCACCCAAAACAATTCACCCCCGAAAAGAAATTAATCCCCCCCTCTCTCTCTCTACCTCTGCGTCGTGTATACATATTTATCTATAAAGCGGGACGAAAGCCTTTTTCAGTGTACACATACACAAACACAGACGCAGAACAGAGAAAGCGTGGCGCCACTGCTCCACATAGGTAGTGTAGAGAGAGAGTGAGGGGGAAACAGTGCCTGCCCCTCTCACTTACTTAAGGAGAGAGAGGGGAGAGAGACCTTTATGTTGGCTTGGCCTCTCTATATGTTTGCTGGCTTGGTGCCTCCCAGTCTCAACTCCCAAGATTCATTTACCTACAAGTATTGCCGGGCTCGGGGATCCAAGATAAATAGAGGGAGAGAGTGAGGAGGAGCTCCTCCTAGACGGACGGACCCTCCCTCTGTCTCTGCTTGTTTTTGGAGGGCCTTGGAGAAGAGAGCGAGGAGCGAGCGTTCGGGCGTGATATACTAGTCGGGCTACACGGGGGCCGAGATAAATCGGGGGGAGGAAAAAAGGGGGTGAAAATACGCCGCCCGCCCGCACCACTTCTCCTCAGGCCTTGACGCGGCCAGCAGCCCCTCCAGCCGGGCGATAGTTGGAAAGGAGAGCGAAACGGGCGCCCGAAACCCCCTGAAAACCTCCACGAGCCACGCCCCCGCCCATGTCGGCGCCGGAGGAGGGCGACGCCGCCGCCGCCGCCGCCCCGGGATCGTCGGCGCCGCCCGCGCCCGCGCCCGCGCCGCCGCCGATGCCGGAGCCCGGCGCAATGGGGCCCGAGGAGGCCGCCGCCAGGAAGCGCTACGAGGCGCTGATGCAGGTGCGGGCCAAGGCGCTCAAGGGGAAGGGCGCCTGGTACTGGGGCCACCTCGAGCCCGTCCTCGTCCCGCCGCCGGCCTCCGGGGCGCCCCCCAAGGCCGCCCGCCTCCGATGCGCGCTCTGCGCCGCCACCTTCTCCGCCTCCAACCCCTCACGCACCGCCACCGAGCACCTCAAGCGCGGCGCCTGCCCTAATTTCGCGGCGGCGCAGGGCGCCCCGCCGCCGCCGCCGCCCCCGCCCCCGCCGCAGAATCAGCATCAGCAGTTGCAGCTCGTCGCCGTCTCCTCCCCCGCCTCCTCGATCGTGCCCATCTCCTCCATCCCCCCGTCGTCCTCGTCCTCCTCGCAGCGCCGCCACTCCACCGGCGGCGGCGGCCGGAAGCGGCACGCGCTCGCCGCGGCGTACGCGTCCGTCGAGGCGGCCTCGCACCAGCACCACCTCATGGTCGCCGACCCGGCCGGGTACTCCCCGACGCCGCCCACCCCGCCGGGGATGCCCGCGCCCAGGCAGCTGCTCTCCGGCGGCCGGGGCGACCTCGCCCCGCTCGCCATGCTGGAGGACAGCGTCAAGCGCCTCAAGTCGCCCTCGGCGTCGCCGGGCGCGATGCTTCCGCGGCCGCAGGCCGAGGCCGCGCTCGCGCTGCTCGCCGACTGGTTCCTCGAGTCGTCCGGCAGCGCCTCCCTCTCCGCGGTCGAGCACCCCAAGCTGAAGAACTTCCTGCGCCAGGTCGGGCTCCCGGAGATATCGCGAGCCGACCTCGCCGGCGCGCGCCTGGACGCGCGCTTCGCCGAGGCCCGCGCCGACGCCGCCGCGCGCTTCCGCGAGGCGCGCTTCTTCCAGCTCGCGGCCGACGGCTTGCGGGAGCAGGTGATCACCCTCTCCGTCAACCTCCCCAACGACACGTCGGTGTTCCACCGCGCCGTGCCCATGCCCGCGCCGGCGTCGGCGTCCCCTGACTACGCCCAGGAGCTGCTGCTGGACGCGGCATCGTCCGTCTCCGCCTCCTCCGGCGACATTCGGCATTGCGCCGGCATCGTCGCCGACCGCTTCGGCTCCAAGACTCTGCGTGATCTCGAGACCAAGCACCATTGGATGGTGAACCTTACCTGCCAAGTCCATGGCCTCTCCCGCTTGGTAAGCGACATGGCGCGCGAGCTCCCACTCTTCAACAACGCTGCGTCAAATTGCGCCAAGATCGCCAGCTACTTCAACACCACGCCCTCCGTGCGCGCGCTGCTGCACAAGCACCAAGTCCAGGAGCACGGGCACGCCTTCCTCCTCCCCATTGCCGCTCCGCCGTATAATGGCGGGGAATTTGCCGCCGCGTTCGTGATGCTCGAGAGCATCCTGACCTCGGCGCGGCCGCTCCAGCTCGCCGTGCTCGAGGAGTCCTACAAGGTGGTCTGCATCGACGACCCTGCCGCGAGGGAGATCGCGGCCATGGTGCAGAATGTGGCGTTCTGGACCGAGGTCGAGGCGACGCATTCGGTCGTGAAGCTGATCATGGACTTGGTGAAGGAGATGGAGACCGAGAGGCCCCTGGTGGGGCAATGCCTGCCTCTCTGGGAGGACCTGCGCGGCAAGGTCAGAGGCTGGTGCCGGAAATTCAGCATAGAAGAGGCGACTGCCATGAATGTGGTGGAGAGGAGGTTCAGGAAGAACTACCACCCGGCGTGGTCAGCGGCATTCATACTGGACCCATTGTATCTGATCAAGGACGCCGGCAGGAGGTACCTTCCACCGTTCAACTACTTGACACCAGAGCAGGAGAAGGACGTGGACAGGCTGATCACAAGACTGGTGTCGCCGGAGGAGGCGCACCTCGCAGTGATGGAGCTGATGAAATGGCGGTCCGAGGGGCTCGACCCATTGTACGCGCAGGCGGTGCAAGTCCGGCAGCCAGACCCATCGACGGGGAAGATGAAGATAGCCAACAAGCAGAGCAGCCGGCTTGTGTGGGAGACATGCCTCAGCGAGTTCAAGTCGCTTGGCAAAGTGGCGGTCAGGCTCATCTTCCTCCATGCAACCGCCAAGGGGTTCAAATGCACGCCGTCGATGACGCGGTGGCTCACCGCGCCAGGCAGCTCAGCCGGCAGCATTGGCCGGGCGCACCGGCTGGTGTTCATCGCGGCGAACTCGAAGCTGGAGAGGAGGGATTTCTCAAACGACGACGACAAGGACGTGGAGCTGCTGACGGAAGGAGACGACGACATGCTAACAGAGACTGGCAATGTGGATCCCTCCTCCTCCTCAGTGTAGCATTCCATTCCTGCTGCTGCTGCTGCTGCTTAATTTCCTTGGCCTCTTTGTGCATTTGATGTTAGCATCCTTAGAATTTGATCTCTAGTAGGAAATTACTATATTCTTTTTTTGATTGTGCCCCCCATGTTGCTAGTTCTTGCTCCCTCCTCTTTGTTTTGGTTGGGTAGGGGGTCGGGGCATGAGATGGAGATATGCTGCACCCAGTCGGTCTTAATTTGCTTGTCAACTGTGGTTAATTAATAAATGGCTCCCTTGTCATACCCTGCTGGTTCTGCCGCTGGATCCTCAACTATTTAGAAAATCGAATTCAGAATCAGCATGAGGCAAGATGAGTAGGGGCCGGGGAGCGTGTGTGCTAAATATCTTGTGCAAATAATACTACTACTTAGTGCCATTTATACTACAATTGGATGATCATTTGGATTGGCTTATCAGCGGTCTCTCATTGATAACTCTTGTGAAGAACAAACTAGTAGTAACATACAGTAGTTGCTGGAGAGTCTAAGTCAGACAATCTTAAGCCTAAGCATCCATGTAGAAAATTTTGTGTCAAGAATTTGACCCCACTACTATATTAAGTGTGCAATGTTGTATTATTCTATAGCAGCAGCAGCAGTGGCTTTTCTTAAGCACTATATGCTCGTAGAGAGCGATGGTCAAAGTTGCACTTGAAGAAATCGTCACCCATCTGCTCCTGCTGCTGCTGCTGCGATATATACTACTGATAGGAGTATTAGAGTAGTCAGCACTGCTCCTCTTGTCCCGGTGACAAAGCAGCGAGCAGCGCAAGAATGTGGCCTTGTTGTTTAATGGCCGATCACATATTATATACACACATATCTACATAAATAAATGGATGAATTGGGGAGATGGGGTCTTTCTTTTGTGCCTTTTCGGCCTCGCGCTTTATAAATAAATTGTTATGGAGCGTGGCAGCGATGGATGGATGGATGGATGGATGTACGAGCACAGATATATACGCCCACAAGCATAGGCCAGTCATGATTGGGGCGGTGAACCGATTCGACGCCCAAAAGCGGAATCGCTTGCTCGCTCCGGTGCAGTGTAGGAGTACGTGTATGTATGCCTAGGAGAAGAACAGGAACCAAGCGGCTCCGTCCAGCATCAGGTAAACGTGGGGCCCGCCTGAAATAATTAAGAAATTTGCGCCCGTCCCTCTCCCCCCCTTGTCCATGGGTAGGTGACTTTCCCCTCTGCCTCCCCCGCTCTCTCTCTCTCTGCCACTTCTGCTCTCCATTGCAGGAATTAATTCCCGCGATTGACTTTGAATGTCTCCAGATTGATTGACGCTACATTCTCCATCCTCACGAGCTCATCTCATTTCACTCACTCACTCACTCCCATGGCGAGCCGGGGGCGGCTGTAGCTGCTAGTACAGTACTACTCCTTTTTTTCGGTTTATAGGGCTTATCTCAAAATTTTAGTTTTTCCATTTTATAAGGCTTAATTTGATTGTTTTCCATCACATGTTCAGATTTCAAAATGCATTAAATCATTGCATGCAAGTACTAAGAGAAAATTGACCAATAAATGTAATTTATGCATGCATGCATTGCAATTAATGCATTGGTAACCATACTTTTTTGAGAAAAACAAAAGCATTAATTGAATTCTTTTGCAAACTACAAAAAGTATTCCACCACTCACCATCTACCTTGGTTGATGAGAAATTTGAATTGAGGCTTATAAACCGGAAAGAAGGGAGTAGCCAGCTAGCTAGGCCGCCGGCGAGGGAGGTCGGCCGGTCATTCCTCCCACTCAGCCGCCGCCAGGGGAGGGGCAGCAGAGCCGCATTTCTTTTCCAATTTTCTATTGGAACGGGACGGAACGGAACGGAACCGAAGCAACAAGGCATAGCATTTCCTCTTTGTATCGTATCGTCTTGTCCAGTGTGTATGGAACCGGTTCGAAACCCAAGCCGCGCCCTCCCACCCCTTTTCCTTGTGCTACATTGCGCACGGTCGGTCGCCCGGCGCTAGTGGGATGGAACTCTTGCCACTGCCATGTGGGCGGCACACCTGCATGCCTACGTCGCCACAGTGCGCGCCATGGTACATTTGTCCATGGGGACGACGCAAATCCCAGTCCCGCTCTCGGTCTCGGTCCCTTCCCTTCTCCGCCCCGGTGGCAGTGGCACCCTTGCTACCTGCTACGACGGACCCCTGTACCTAGCACCCACTGTAGCAGTGGCAGCTACCCACCCCCGCCTCGCCACTCACTCACTCACTCACCCATGGTACTGGCACTCGTACTATACTTACCACCGCTACTACTACGACCGGTATGGTTGCGCCTGCCCGCCTGCCAAGAGCCCAAGACCCCTCCCTATACCTCCACGACCCCCATTTACTACCCTCCCTTGAATAGGTGCAATGTAGATACACATAGATTCATCCATTGATAGGCCGGGGTGGGCTGGTGTGTGTGTGTGCGTGTACTACAACAACGTCCTAGCCTTGCCCAATGCCCACTCATGGTGCTGGATCTTTACGCGTGTGTGTGTGTGTGTGAGGCCACCGGGAAGAAAGCAAGGAAGGATCTATCACCAGTTCGCTCGCTCCCCCTTATTCCAGCAGCCGAGCCGGACCAACCGTGGACCATCGCGCCCAGATGCTACTCTGCCCACCACTGTAGAGGCCACGCACGTCCACCACCATGCCTTGCCTTCCGTGATAAACTCGCTCATAATAGCCTGCCCTCTCCGGTTCTCCGCGGCCCCGGTCAATGTCTTTCCTCTTCCTCTTCCTCTTCCTCGTCGCGGCTTGAGCTTTCGGGTGAACTGGCCTCCGCCCCCTATCAACCGGGGCCGATCCCAAACCATGTAAAATGCCGGACGATAAGGTTTTTTCCTCCATTCTCTAAATAGATGGAGTAAATTTTGTGTGTATGCAAGAGGTGGTACAATGGGAGGGGGTGATGGGCGTGGGCGGAGGGTTTTTCACCGCAGAGGGGAGGGGTTAAAGTCGTCCTTGGGCCTGGCTCCTTGGCCCTTTGCACTCGAGTCAACAGGGCATGGGCATCTGAGGCCGCGCAGCAGAGTGTGCTCCTTGCAGCAGCACGCATGCATGCATGACTCACATTGTGGCTTGTTCCCCCGCACCTATGCGTGTGCATGTTTTCATCTTTCCAATGAAAGCCACTGTTGTCCTCCCTCGTCGGTTCCCGGCCTCTCAACTGTCAATGTCGTCCTCTTAGGCCACCCAAAGCCAGCGTTTGGTTCGAAAATAAAGAGAGGGAGGCACCAGCAAAGGACGTGTGTGTGTGTGCGCGCGCGCGTCTAGTGCGGTACGTATACGTGAGAACATATCCGCTGTTTCCTTGTTGTCCTGATGTAATGTGCTCTCCGTGCTGATTACCGACACAAACACGGAACCTCACAGTTATGAAAAACATTGACTCATATTTTTCTTCAAAACCTCGATATGTATACATCTACTTCACTGTGGAATTTACTACTATCCAACTTCTATTCATCATTGAAATAGACTTTCGCCTCGTTTTATATATAAAGCAACAACCAATGACAACCCACGGCCGAACGATACAATGTGATGAGGTTGCCCTCTTACAAAGCACCGATCGCGTACAACGCACGCGACTACGCTACCTACAAAGAACAGAGGAATATCTAAACACACCGCCACGCTACAACCTGGACCACCTAAGCTCCACGACAACACCTTCAAGAGGGACTACATCGCCGAGCATCGCCGCTGCCGAGTCCACGACGGACAAAGGTCTTCATCCGGAGCCCTGTCACGGAGAGAAGAACCACGCCGACATCTTCAAGAAGAGTGCGGCACCCGTGGTTGTCGCCGTCATCGGCACCAAGGCACGAGCTTTCGCTCGGCAACTCAGCCGTGTCACCACGAGGCCGCCAGGAGGAGCACGACGATGTCAGATCCCTAGATCCGGATTAGGGCTCCACCCTTCTGGAAAAGAGGGCACGCCCGGGCAACCCGCAGCAACACCTCCCGTTGCCCGCATAATCTGAGAGGAGAGCCACCACCACCACAATGATGCCCGCTGAAGAGCAACCCATTGGATCGCCATCCGGGGCCGCCACCCCGACATCCCTGTCGCGAGACACCGTACACCGCACACATCACAAAGCACTCAGCCACAATAGAAAGAGTGACGACATTCCATCTACTCCTAGCCCGGCATCAGTCTCCGAGTTTGGGGTAGGCGCCTCCACCGCAGGAGGCACCCACACTTGCATCCCCAGCTAATACCCGGTGGACTGGGTTGGAGGGGGAAGGACATGAGCTTAGCCCGGCCGTGCCCCCAGGAGGCGGCGAGGGAGGGTCAGGAGGGAGGAGGAGGACCGGCGCTCGAGATCTAGGGATCCCTCCTCACCGCCACACGGGCGCAACGAGGGAGGGGAAAGAGGGGAAAAGAATAGGATACTATCCAACTTCTATTCATAGCTCGAGAGTAGCGCACAATTCAAATTTACAATGAGTAGTACATGTTTCACACTATTTTATTTTCAAAAAGGAGATTCAAACACCCGGCCTCTGCATCAATACGATGCACGCAACAATTGATAGTTTTAGTAGTAGTTTGATTTTAGCAGTGTGTTTTTTTCTTCAAGCCATAGATTGGGCTTTGAATTGAAATTTGATCAATTCTTTTTTTTGGCGGGAAGAAATTTGATCAATTCAATCTATATCCTTGGCAACTTGGTGTATCCATTTCACAAATTAGCTATATCAAACTAATCACCCTTTGTATCGTAATTCTAACAGAAAAAAATCAGTTTGTTTTCTACTCCCTCCATTTCCTGAATATAAGCCATTTTAGAGATTTCAATGATGACTACACACGGAGCAAAATGAGTGAATCTACACTCTAGAATATGTCTATACACATTCGAGTGTAGCCCGTATTAAAATTTCTAAAAAGACTTGTATTTAGAAACGGAGGGAGCACGTCTTAAATGTGATTTCTTGCTACTAGCTGCAAACATGGGC